TTTTTTTTTTTTTTTTTTTTTTTTTTTTTTTTTTTTTTTTGAGAAACATTGCACTTTTTATTCCAAACGAGACTACCAGGGCCCGAGAACACACCCCTATATATCAACCCGGTACAAACTTGCTGAGGTCATTACTCACCTTAGGCTCCTGGAAACCGGGTCCAGTGTCCCTTGAAAGAATCTCCAAAAATAAAAGTAAAAATTGCAAAGCAAATCTGTGTCAGTACAGTATCCTTGCTCCTCAGGGAGGCACCGGCATGTTTCTAAAATCCAAACACTATTGGCAAAAGAACTATGAGCTATAAACTGCAAATCTCGAGAATGCACGAGGAAATTCGCGAAAAAGTTAACAAATCAACCCTAAAATTACTTCCAAGAGCGTGCTAAATTCTTAGATACACATCAACTCTAAAATTACGTCCAAGTGCGTGCTAAATTCTTAGATCGAGGTATTGAAACCGGGCACATTAATATTGTCGACAGAAAATGGATGATTGAAAACAGCCAAGAGAATGGCCACATATAGTCCAAGGGAATTCAAGGGAATTTAAAAAGAGGAAGAGGTGGATAACCGCGACCACAGAATATACGAGTGGGGAAGATACGAGCCAGATTTTCCAGGATGGCACAAAGTCGAGCGTAGGACACTCCCCTCACCACTCAAGGCCTGGGTGACCCTGTGTCACTGTTCCTGCTCTTGGAGATCAGCCACTCTTAGAAAGTAAACGTCATTGTGTCTCCAAACGCGGTTATCGCTGGGAAATGTTTTACCCTTTTGCGCCTGGGAAACGTTCCCACCGCCACTAGTGAGTCTCCCATTCCCGCTGATGGCGCCGCCGCCCATTGGTCCTTAGGGTTTTGCATACCCAGCTGAGGTCTCATCCCTTCATCATGTTGATTCCCCAGATTCTACCGTTAGTATGTGGGTGCTGAAGATGTGAGCAGGAGTTCCCAGGATGACCACAGGTCGAGCGTAGAACACTCCCCACGCCACTCAAGGCATGAGTGACCCTGCATCACTGTTTCCTGCGCTTGAAGAGCTACCACTGGTCCACTTTCAGAAAATAAACTTCAATGTGTCCCGGTAGGCAGAATGTCAAGCCCTTCCTAATAACGACTAAGTGTGCTCCGTGATTGACTATCTGCATACTTGATTCTCACTCAAAATATGTTGAGTCTAAAAGCAACCTTATATGTAACCATTCACAGGCACTGTGGCCAAAAAGAATCAAATTAAATGAGAAAAAGAAGGGATCACAAACAGAACATGAAGTAAATGCACATAGGATGTAAAGAAGACGGTCTGGCAGTTTCATTCGATTACCTCAGCACTCTGAGGCAATCACTCGACTAGATGCGCGAGCAAAAAGCCTGCTGAATTACCGAAACTAACCTAAACTGTGCCTACATGCAAACAAGATGTGCAGAAGAAAACTTACACAATTACTAAGTTAAGATCATATCTAGATACATCACAGCGCCACTCCTGATAGTGCCGTGGCGCAGGGCGCTTTATTCCCTCCTTTCAGACTGCCTTGTGTTGTAGATGAGTCAAACGAGACTTGCTGAAGCTCTTGGACATGCCGAAGCGCTGCCACCGCAGCCGCACGCTCTCCCACTGCGTCCAAATGCGCCGCTCCGCCATCCATGCTTTTCCTAGTAATCAAGGCAGTCAGAAGGCGTGTCATGAAAGCAGGGCACACGGCCATTGGATGGTAAGAAAGGAGCCCCCCCTTTCCAGCAAAAGGCTTGAGGGGAGGACGACTCCTCTGGTGTCGAGATCCTGTTAGGTATGAAGGTTGATATGGAGGTCAGATGCAGAGCTGCCGGGATGCCTTGGCTTAAGAGTGCAAATGCACTCCCTAACTTACTCAGGGGCTAGGTTACGCCAGGGCACTGTCGCCATAGCTCTCACACACCTATGGTGCCTGGCAGGGTAGGCGCCTTGTGGAGAAGATCAGCGTCCACATGCCCAGACATTGCGTCCTACTCAGCCGCAGCCGACGGCCGGGCGCCGCCACCGCCGCTATCTCCGCTTCATCGTTAGCGCAAGTTTTTCGTGCGGCCCTCCTTCATTTCTGTTTTATGTTTCTTTCTTTCCTTCTTTTTGTTTTTTATTTGATTGTTCTTTTTTTGTAGCTGCTGCATCACTTCAGGACTTTGTTCTCCTTTTTCTTCTTTTTTTTTTTTTTTTTGGACAGTGTGTCAGGGCCATGCTTGCGAGGGATTGAACCCTCGGCAGACACGTAAGAGTCCCGCTGTGTCATCTTCTTGCCCGCCCTAACGCTAGGTGGTCCTGCATTTTCCAAAGGGGCTAGTACTTGCTGGGCATTTTCCAGGCCGAGGGGCGTCAGACAGTTACAGGGCACCAGTTGTTTACTGGGCCCCCTCACGTGTGACCTGAGACCTTGTGAGCCTTCGAGGCTCATCCAGGCAGCGATGTGAGACAAGGCTTTTCGGCCAATCAGGAGGCAGTGAGTGACAAGACCCACGTCAAACAGTTGGGCGTGCCTAACTACATCGGTCCCAGGCTGGCATCTGAATCTGCGCCCGGGCGGACCTTTGGCCCAACTGGAAGCTACCGGGCCCGAGAGCGCGTTTGCACTTTCCATAAAGGAAAGTGCCCCCTGCCCCTAGCCACTCATTCCGGCCCTGGGCATCTAGCGGCAGCACTGCTGGATTGACAGCTGGGGTGCAGGGCAAGACCGCCCACGGGCGCTGGGAGGAGAGCTCTGCACAGAGGCAGCGCGCGAGGCAGCCATAGACGGGCTGTCCTCGCTGGTGCTGGTGCTGGTGCTGGTGCTGGCGAGGGTGGTCTTCGGGAAGGGAGGCGCACACCATGAGAAGGACAGGTGGTGAGCAAGAGGAAAGAGCCCGCCGTTCCTGATGTGTATGCGGTCGTCTGCATGGGCTACTTCGGCATGGCATTGCGCATTGGTCTTCGGCTGGAAGCGATGTCTGGTTGCATGTCATAGGTGTCGGGTAGTATAGGTATGGAGGAGTCGTAGGCTGTGCGCTGGGCGCCAAAAGAGAAGGGCGGCATTGGATACATTGATGATGGTGGCTAGTTAAGGCTGGCATTGACATACGAGTCCATTGGATTGCTCTTAGTACGTGACTTGTATCTCGGTGCATATTGCTTTCTGCTTGGTACACGACTATGATCGGGTCCTAAGTGTGATGTTGCAAGTTGGTCTTCTGTGACTCTCTCCCTCATTTTCCGTGCAATGCACATCTTCTCTGTATCGTTCCGAAATGTGCAATTTTAGTGTATGTCCCAAAGCTTAGCTTAGCCTTCGGACAGTTCTCCTCTTTTTTTTTTTTGTTTCTGTTTGTTCTTACCCTTGATTGTTTCCATTCAGCACAAAGCGTGACAAATATAAAAAAAAAAAAAAAAAAAAGAAAGGACAGAAATTCTGCAATGTACACCTGCATATTCATGTGAACAGAGGTGACAGTCTGAGAGTCCATTTTCTGTGGTCCTCTATGCTAATGGCTTTTTTTAAGTTTTTTTCCTTCTTTTTTTTTCCCTTCGCTTCGATGGTTGACGAGTCTGTCACTCTTTGTCTCTACATGACCCCTGCGCGACTATGACACACATAAATCGAGAAATGATCCAAAAAAAA